CGAGATAAGATCAATCATTTATGACTTAAAGGTCTGTGCATCACCATCAAGATAGGAAGGGTTGAACATCTTTTCCACAAGTTACTGTCAACACCTTCAAAAAAAAGTTAAAAATAAAGCTTCATGGATGATTTTTTGTAAAGTATGTTAGAGTATGAAACTTTTTTCAAGATTCAGAGGTGGCTTTTGTAAAATATAAAGAAACTACCTGGGCCAAGGTTGTGGATGTGATGTGTAACCACTTTTCAAGATTCACAGAATTTTGAAACCATGTTTCGCTTATAATGTTATGCAAATAGCACATCACATTTTGCAAATTGAATACACAAGTTCCATCACTTCTATTCCACACATAAGCAGACAACTCGAAATCATGCCTTGTTTTAACATCATTGTGTATCTATTATGTGACAGTAACGGAGAGTGCATATTGTTGACGAGTTGAGGTCTCAGCCAAAATTTTGGCTTTAATCCTCTGCAGTGCAGCTGCTGCTTCTATCATGTCAATCCTTTCGTCCGGCAAAACTGGTAAACATTTCATCGCCAAATGTAAAATAGATGAGACACATTCTTCTGTTGCACTAAGATGTTGATCTCCACTTGCTAGCAAATCAGGGACCACGACTTCTGCAACTGCATTCTGTCGTAATGCTTCACATACCCACTCTTTTAAGCTTATTTCTTCATTGAAAATAGCATCAGTCGGTTTCTTCCTCGTAAACATTTCCAACAGAAGTATGCCAAAGCTATAAACATCTGCACTTGTTGTAACTTTGCCTTCCGATCCATACTCTAGTTGTCACACAATCACGGATTAGCGTATTTTTTTTTTTATTTTTTTATTTTGGAATAAATAGATGAACTCATGAATGATTTCTAACGTTGGAAGATTGTTATGATGTTTTATTAATTAAACTGAAAAATGGAAAAAGAAAAAAAAAAATAAAAAAGCAAAAAAAATAACAAAAGATTAGGAAATCACCTGGTGCTGCATAACCTATGGTCGCCAAAGTTTTGGTATGAACCATAGTCTCACCATCATCGAAGAGTTTGGCTATCCCGAAATCAGCAAGGTGAGCTACCATATCCTCATCGAGCAAAACATTACTTGGCTTTATATCACAATGAACGACAGTAAATGTATGGCCATGATGGAGATATTCCAAGGCCGATGCAACATCTATTGCTATTTGTAACCTCCGCATCAAATCCAAGCAAGAATTCTCCGAATACAACCATTTCTCGAGGCTGCCATTTGGCATGTACTCGAGAACCAAAGCTTTGAATTCCGTGTTGCTACAACAACCGATTATTTGTACCAAGTTTCTGTGACGAATGCTGCTAAGTATTTCACATTCGGTATCAAAACTGCGAATGGCTCTTTCTAACTGCGAGTTGAAGACTTTTACTGCAACATTTAGCCCATCAGAAAGAACTCCTTTGTAAACCGAACCAAAGCTCCCATTTCCAAGCATATTTGTTTCGCTAAAGCCATCTGTTCCCCTTTCGAGTTCTCTATACGAAATTCTTCTCCAAATAATAACACCCAGCGAAACATTAGTAGTAGAAGAAGGTCCTCTCTTTCGTTTTTGTCTCCTGACCAACACAACTAGCATGACGATTGTTATTATGATAGCTAGAAAAAACGGAGGCAAACTATACTTCAATAACCTCTCAACTTTCTTTCGTCTCGATTTTCTGATACTATTATTCTCAATGCAGGGAGGCACTTCAAATCTCTGATCTCCACAAAGAGCAGAGTTGTGAAGAAAAGATTGAGCACTGAAGTTAACAAAAGGGCCACCTGTGGGAATCATTCCTTCCAGCTCATTGTAAGACACATTAAAGTATTCTAGTGTTTCGAGGCCTTGTAAAGACTCTGGAATCAGTCCCGAAAGATTATTATTAGATAGATCCAAATCTCTCAAGGCTCTGATGTTTCCCATTGATGGAGGAATGGATCTTTCAAACCTGTTATCCGACAAATTTAAGATCGTTAGTGATTGGCAACCGTCGATTAATCCTGGAATTTCCCCTGAGAATCGATTATGGGACAAGTCTAATACATTGAGTTGCTTCAAACTTGAAATCTCGAACGAAACTTGACCACTCAAATGGTTTGAGGACAAATCGAGAAACAAGAGGTCCCGTAAGTTCCAGAAACCGAGAGGTATGCTGGAATTTAGCTGGTTCGAACCTAAGTAGATTTCTCTTAGGGATCTTAGGTCTCCCAAGCATTCAGGTATGGGACCTGTGAGATTATTTTCGTATAGGTACAAATCGCCTATATTACTCAGTCCGCAAATATCTCGAGGGATTAACCCACTTAGTTGATTATCATGAAGATCCAATAATTGAAGTTTACTTAACTTCCCTACTGTTGGTGGGATTATTCCTGTGATTGCATTTCCTGATAAATCTATTAATCGCAAACCAGTCAAGTTTCCTATGGTAGAAGGAATAATTCCGTTAATGTTGCTGCTCTCTGCCCAGATAGTTGTGAGAGATTTGGATAAATTCCCAATGGAATCAGGGAGGATACCGTTGAGTGGATTTTCGTAAATTGCTAATTGCTCCAAAAACCGGCAGTTAGCTAATGAAGAGATAAATTGAAGTTGATGATTTGGAGATTCTGCTCCACTCAGAGAATTACCCCAAAAGTAAAGTCCACGTAAGAGCCTTAGGCTGCCGAAGTTGGGTATGAAGCCAGTGAATGAGTTACCTTGCAAGTGCAACTGTTGCAGATTAGAAGCATTGGTGATAGAAATGGGAATTTCTCCAGTGAGTTCATTTCTCGACAAAAACAAACTTTCGAGGTTCGAAAGTGAGAGGTCTGGAGAGAGAGGAAGAGTTCCAGAGAAAAGATTAAATGAAAGGTACAGCTCTTTCAAAGTTGATATGTTGAAGATGGATTGAGGGATTGAACCGGACAAGTGATTTATTTGCACGCTTAAGTACTCGAGGAATGCCAAATTCTTTAGCTCTTGTGGTAAACTACCTGCCAATGTTAGGACACAGTTTTTTTTTTTTAAATGTTGAAAGCCTAAAACAAATAAGCAGCTCAAATGTGAAGTCAGTAGTAGCTAAATGATAATACCTGTCAAATTATTGTTATCAAGGATTAGTTGCTTCAAAGAAGTGCAGTTCCCAATTTGCTTTGGTATANAAGTACTCAAAAATAGTAGATATAATCATGACCCAGATTATTAAACAAATAATAAATGTGGTGATATTAAGTAGTAAAAAAGGATAATGGAATGTTAATTTCCTGTGAGAGAAGCATTGCGGATGTCTAATATCTCTAGCCGGGAAAGGTTAGCGACTTCTGGTGGAATTCCTCCTGAAAGTGGTTTACCAAGTCAAACATCAGCTTATCAGCATATCTTTTCTTAGTATATATCAATCCCGCTATATAGTGATGTTGAGGATGAAAGTTTAATTATTTAGAGAATAACATATATGGTTACATAACTATTTTGCTGACCATGCCTTGTATCATAGAATTATTAAACGATAAAGATTAATCAAGTATTCGTAAAAAGTAAAATTATAAAATTAAATATAAAAAATGATTTCATCTATATTTTATAAATTAGGACCAAGTTTGGAAATTTTAGTATAAAACAAATAGCCATCAGTAGTAGCCAGAAAAATTTTCAACTCGGGGCTGCATATTATTGTAGCTATTATTGGAACCGAGTAGATATGGTCATGGGCCAGGCGGCCCGTCGGTTCTGTCTCAACCGGCACAAACCGACCCGTTGACCATGGGTCTTCAACCGGCCCATGATTTTGACTAGCCCGGTTCATGTTCAATACTTTATAATTTATACAATTCAAACCGGCGGTTTCGATTTCAGTCATCGGAGCTTCGGCCTTTTTTTTAAAAATAAAAAATTATTTTTTAATTATATTTATTTCTTTTAATGAAACGGACGGCCAAGAACCGACAGCTCAATGAACCGGCCAGTGCATATGTTCAGGCTGGCGATATTAACCCAAAATCGGTTTTGCTATGACTAGAACCGAATTATGTATTAACATATTTCGGTTTGAATTGTGAAAACTCAATTTCGACTTGTTTATACATTTAAACAAGTCAAATTCAAATAGTAATCGAACTTGCAATCAAACAACTAGAGTTGAACATGTTTGCAATCAACTCTGTAAGAGTTTTTTTTTTTTTTTTTTTTTTTAATATCCAAGTTAAAACCTTTATCA